CGCCCCCCGCCGTGCTGCCGCCGCCGCTCCTCTTCCAACGACCCGCACTACGCCGCCGCGGCTCCCTCCCCCGTCGTCTCGTGGCGCGCCGCCGCCGCTCGCGGCGGCGGCGCGCCACGAGACCCCGGGGGAGCGAGCCGCGGCGGCGTACCGCGCGTCGCTCGAAGCGCAGCGGCGGCAGCAGCACGGCGGGGCGCGTTCGCGCGACGCGCCTCACCGCGAGGAACAGAGCTTCGACTACCGCGGCGGCGCGAGGCCGACGCCGGATAGGACGTCGTATAACGCGTGTCCGCCGCCGGCGAGTTTGAACGCGCACGCGCTGGGGGCGTCGTTCATCGCGTCGTCGACGCGTCCGCCGCCCGGATCAGCGAGCGGCGTTCCGTCGATGGGCGCGGGGGCCGGGGGCGACACCGCGGCGACGAACGCGGACTTCGCGGCGGCAGCGAAGAGAGCCGCGGAGGCGGTCGCCGCGCGGATCAACGCGCAGTTCGCCGCCGCCGCGCCACCGCCGCCGCCGCCGCCGCGGTGACGCCTGCCGGCTTGCCTAGTATAGTACGAAGGTAGCGGTCTAATTCTAGCGTATGTACTACAGGGCTACACCACTACTTCTCTCCGCCGCCGACGACGTCAGTCAGAACCCGCGCATCCTAATCTTTCTTAACTTTTTCTCTTCCTTGTACTTCTCGCGCGCGATCGCCTCCGTGTCGACCGATTTCACGCCTTGTAACACCCCCACGATGCGACTCTTTCTGTGTTCGTACAGCGCGCTGTTCCACTCCTTCTCTTGCGCCTTCCCGGCCAAGCGCGCTTTCGCTTTGTCGATGATCTCCTGCTTCATCTTCATCTCCATGAGCTCCTCTGGCGTCAGCTCGATCTCCTCTGCTTCTTCCTCCGCCGCCGCCTTCTCCGCGCCGCCGCCGCTCGAGTCCACCGTCCGCGTCGTCTTCTTCGTCAGCGCCGTCGTCGCCGTCGCTTCGCTTCCGCCGCCGTTCCACTGGCTCCCGCCGTCGTCGCCGCCGCCGCTTCGGACGCTCCGCGCGGCGTCTTCTCTCTTCTCTCGCAGTTTCACGACCCTCCCGTCCGACGTCATCTTCACGCGCACCGCGATCGCGTTCGCGACCGTCTTGAACATCGTCCTCGGCCCCCGCGCGCCGCCGCGCGTCTGCGCCACCGCGCTCGCGTCTTTCTCCCTCGCCGCGCGCAGGGCGCGGACGCTCGATCCGACGTCGTCGTCGTCGTCGTCGTCTTCTTCGTCTTCGTTCGCGAGTCGCGCGGACGCGTTCGTCGAGCCCCCGCGCGAGTTCCCCTCTCGAAACGCCACGGACGCTCTCGAGATCCTCAGGTCCGCGATGGGCACGTCCTTCGCGCGCGTCCCGCCGCTCGAGCGCCGCTTCAGGATGCTCCTCGCGACGGACGCGCGGCCGAGGCTCGCGTCGGCGTTTTCGTTTTCGTTTTCATCGTCGTCTCCGGCGGCGTCGACGTCCGCGTCAATCCCCCGCTTCTCCTCCTCCTCCTCCTCCGTCGTCGTCCGCGGCGCGTACGTCCCCGCGGCGATCATCGCGAGCTCTTCCCTTCGCGAGCACCCTCCCGGCGGCGGCCTCAACGGCGGCGGCGGCGGCGGCGGCGGCGCCCTCGCTTCGGCGCGCGCCCTCGCGAGCGCGTCCGCGGGTTCCCCTCTCGCGTCGTCCGTCTCGTTCGTCCTCGCCTCGCGCAGCGCGCGCGTCCGCAGCGACGCCGCGACCCTCCGCACCGGCTGCGTCATCCACGCGTCGAGCGTCGGGACGTACTTGGTCGCCTCGCGCGCGAGCTCGCGCGCGATCCCGCGCTCGAAGCGATGCGCGTTCGGCGCGTCGCGAATTACCCTCTGGAATCGCGCCTCGAGCGCGACGTGCGGCGTGTTCGCGAACGGCCTCGCGAGGCTCAGCACCGTGGCGATGTCCGACGCGGTGACGAGCCCGTCGCCGTCCGCGTCGAACGCCGCGTGTATCGCGTCGCGCAGGTGATCGCCGACGTCCCTCTCCACGTACGCCATCGCCTCGGCGCGTCGGAGGCATCCGACGAACCCTTCCGCGTGCGCGCGGTGCGCGAGGACGAGCTCGAGGCGACGCACGAGATGCGGGCCGTACACGCCGTGGATGGTGTTGTCTCGCGCGCTCGGCGTCGTCCCGCCGTCGCCGCGCGAGGAGGAGGAGGAGGACGACGCGCCGACGAAGCCGCCGCGGTCCGCGGCGGCGGTGAACCCCATCGACCGCAGCGCGGAGGGGTGTGACGCGAGGAGGAGGTTCGAACTTTCTGAGTCATCAACGATCTCGTCCGTTGATTGTTCGGGCGCGCGGGTGATGCTCTGCGCGCGCGCGGTCGCATCCGCTCACGGCCGCGCGTCCTTCTCCTCCCGCCATCACCCCCGCGCGGCGCGCCCGCCGCGCGCGCTCTCGCGGCTCTCCGTCCTCGCCGTCGCGAGCTGCTGCGCGCTGCGAACCGTGGTCGCGATGGCGCACGCGTCGTCGTCGAACGCGGCCGCGGACGTCGACGAGGAGGTGAACGTCGTCGTCGTCGGCGCCGGCGTCAGCGGCCTCGTCGCGGCGTGGAAGCTCCACGACCAGGGCCTCACCGTGAGCGTCCTCGAGGCGCGATCGCGCATCGGCGGGCGGTGCTTTTCCACCCCCGGCGGCGCCGACCTCGGCGCGTCGTGGACGTGGCCGCCGCACGAGTCGCGCGTCGCGACGCTCGCGAAGCGGCTGGGACTGAAGTGGACGGCGCAGCGGCTCGAGGGCGGCGTGCGCTTGCCCGCGGCGCAGCGCGTCGACGGCGGCGGCGAGCGCCTCGCGCCGTGCGGCCCGGGCGCGCTTCGAATGGAGGGCGGGATGCAGGAGATCGCGCACGCGCTCGCGGAGCAGCTCCCGGCGCGAACGATCCGGCTCGGCGCGGAGGTGATGGAGATCGTTCGCGCGCCCATCAGCGAGGGCGACGGCGCGGCGGGGCGCGAGCGCGTCCACGAGACGCGGCGCGTGCGCGTCACCGCGTTGGACGACCACCGAGGGCGGACGATCACGATGCACGCGCAGCACGTCGTGATCGCGACGCCGCCGCGGATCGCCGCGCGGATGCGTTGGGACCCGCCGCTGCCGCCGAGAAAATTGAGAAAGATGATCGACACTCCGGCGTGGGCGGGGGACTGGTGTAAGATCGTCGCGACGTTCAAGACGCCGTTCTGGATCGAGACCGGCGACAGCGGCGTCGCGCAGATGAGCCGCGACTCGCTGTTCGCGGTGACGTGGGAATCTCACGGAGGGGAGTCCACGGACGAGCCGGGCGTGCCGTCTCTCGCGGGGGTAAACTTTGGCAAGGCGGCGTGCGACCGCCTCGACGCCTACGGCCCGCACGAGGACCCCGCCATCGGGTTATCGAACCACGCGCTGAAGGCTGCGGTCGCGGACGATCTGAGCAAGGTGTTCGGCGTGGACGTGATATCGTTCCAGCTCATCAACGTGTATCACAAGAGTTGGAGGAACGACCCGCGAACGTACGACCGCGGCGACGAAGATCCGTTGAATCCAGCCTACGCGGGCGATCCGCGGAGCGGGTACGGCGACCTGTTGTTGCGAGAGGAAGTCGAGGGTGGCGTGCACTTCGCGGGGACGGAAACGGAGAACGCGGCCGGGCACGTCGACGGCGCGGTGATGGCGGGCGAGCGCGTCGCGGAGGAGATCAGAGGCGAGCGCGCGGCGGCGAAGTCGCGACGCGGCGAACGCGGCGAGTTCAAGTGACGATCGATCGACGCGTCTCGTAGCCCTACTCAGTATTACTGTAAGTTCATTCGCGAGCGGAGGTTTATATTACATCACAGCGAAGCGACTGCCGCGGCAATCGTCGTCGTCGCGGACGTCGCGCGTCGCGTCGCGTCACGGCGGCGGGATGGGGAGGCCCGCGGCGGCGAGCGCGTCCTCGAGCGCGCGCGTTCGCGTCGTCAGCGCGCGTCTCTCGCGAATGGACGCCCGCAACGCGTCTTTCAGCGCCTCCATCTCTTTCTCCGCGCGCGTCGTCGGCGTCGTCGTCGTCGTCGCGGGGGCTTCGGAGGCGACGTCGTCGCCTTCTCTCTTCCCCGCGCCCGTCGCGTGCACGAGCTGCTCGATGATATTCGCCTGCTGCGGCGACGCGGTGCTCCCCGGGGGCAGGTTCACGGTTTTTTTCTCTCCGGTGGCGGCGGCGTCGGCGTCGGCGGCGTCGTCCTCCTCCGCGATCCTCGCGAGCTCCTCCTTCGCCGCGTTCACGAGCGCGCTCGAGGCGATCGGCCCCGGGGCGCCTCTCGGCACGCCCTGCGCCGAGCGCGCGCGCTTGCTCAGCTCCATCACGCGCACCTCCGGCCACGGGGTCTTCCCCGAGAGCCACGCGCGGACCGACGCCGGCGACGCGTCGGGGGCGCCGAAGAAGACGACGTCGCCGTTTTCCAGCCGCAGCATCTGCCACGCAGGCGTCCACGTGTCAACTCCTGAATCGCGCGCCTCGTCCGTTCGCGCGATCGAGTTCTTCGAATCGGATCCGCGGCGGTCGGACGGCAACGGGACCGCGGACGCGGCGCGTTTGTGCGACGCGGATCCGCGAAGCGTCGCGGATTCGATGTTCCGAGCGGCGCGGCGCTTCGCCGCCGCCGCCGCGAGCGACGCCTCGTGGTTCGCCCCGAAGCGATTAAGACGCAGCCCGCGCGTCGTCTCGACGAGCGCGAGTTCCTCGGGGGTCATCGTCGTCTTCTCCTCGTCCGACGAGCCGTCGTCGACGCGCGGGACGGCGGCGGCGGCGGCGGCGGCGCGCTCTCTCTCCGGCAACACCGCCGCCCCCGGCGCGCCTTGGACCTCCCACACGCCGCGTTCGAAGTCGAACGCGTACCGCGGCTTCGCTCTGTTGTTCGCGACCGCGCACGCGGTGTCGCGCTTTTCGCCGTCTGCGGTGTCGCCGCGGGAGACCGCTCTCGCGGCTTCGAACGAGTCCGCGCACCGCGGCCCCTTCGCGCGCAGATCCCGCGGCTGCAGCGACAGCCTCGAGTGCGCCATCGCGCCGCCGACGGGGACGTACGCGCCGCCGCCGTGAACGCGCGTCGACGCGTTGTGCCCGCCGTGCACCTCGCCCGGGTCTTCCACCGCCGAGAGACCGTTCAAGCGGACGCTCTGCGGCGCGACCGGGCGGATCGGGTCGCGCTGCCCGACGCCGGTGAAGCGGTTCTGGCAGATCGCGCCGCCGACCGCGGCCGCGCCGCGGATCGTGGACGCGACGGCGCCGCCGTCCGCGCCCGCGGGGTCTGCGAGGACGGGGGAGACGTCCGCGGCGGCGTTCGCGAACCACGACGTGTTCTGCCACCACGACGGCGGCGCGGCGGGGGCGGCGTCCGCACACGTGTCGTCTTTTTCGATGGCTGGCGCGACGCCCCACCGTCGGCGCTGCACCGCGGCGGCGGCGTCGCGCGCGGGCGCGACGTCGGGCGCTCTCGGAGGGCCGGCGAGGAATCGCGCGAGCGCGTCCGCGTTCACGAGCTGCACGTCCGCCATGACGTCGGGAGGGGGGCGCGGCGGGGAGTGACGAGTGCCGACCACGACGAGCGATGATCATGCGCGCTGATGACGTCATCACCGCAGCCGTTTTCGCGGCGGTTTCATTTCCTGTTCTGTTTGCGGTCGGTTCTGTTCTCGCGTTCTTTTTACACATCGTTGTACAACACTCGGTGTCGTCGTCGTCGCGCCTCGCGCGCTCTTCCACCCGTCCCACGCGCTCTCTCTCGCGAACCCATCCATACTTCCTCGATCACTCACGACCTTCTCAGCTGATGCGCCTTATCGCACAGCGGCACGTACAACACTCCCATCAGCGTCTTCTCGTACACGTTGCCGTCCTCGTCTTCGGGTCGTTCCGCGCGAAGCGACGTCGGGGTGGAGTTCAAAGGCGTCAGTTGAAGTTGAAAGGCGTCAGACGGAGTCGAAAGGCGTCGCGGTGTGTCGGGATCGAAACCGTGACGTGGGCGGAGAGAAACACACGCCGGGAAGAAAAGTCCTTAAGGATCGGCGTTCACCACGCCAACGCGGTCGTACGGGGACCAGTGTAAACGCGAACGCGCCCTTGTCCACCGCCTTGAGCGTCTGGCCCTCGTGCTCTCGCCCGACGGGGATGATGAGCCTCCCGCCGGGCGCGAGCTGCTCGATCAGCGCCTCCGGGATGGACGGCGACGCCGCTCCGACGTGGATGGCGTCGTACGGCGCGCGACCGGGCCACCCGTTCCTTCCGTCCGCGGTGGCGAGGATTACCTCGCCCGCGGCCAGGAGTTTGTCTTTCCCGTCTGCACGAGGGTCGTTTCGTTCGGGGGTTTGGCGCGTCAGACGGAGTCGCGAGGCGTCGAGGTCGGGCGTCGAAACCGAGGGACGGGCGGAGAGATTCGCCGGGAACCGGCGCGACTCGAACGCGCCTCTGTGAAAATTCTCTCGCGACGCTCGCACGAGCTCGTCCACGTGGTCGACGCCGACGACGACGCCGTCCGGCGTGACCATCTCCGCGAACAGCGCGGTGAGGTACCCGGTCCCGCTGCCGACGTCGAGAACCTTCGCGCCCGGGACGAACCACCGGGAGAGCTCCTGGAGGCAGTGCGCGTGCATGTGCGGCGCCGATATCGTCGCGCCGTAGCCGATGGGCTGCGGCGAGTCTTGGTAGGGATCGATCGACGGCTCCTTCATCGCGACGTAGTTGGCGCGGTCCACGGACTTCATCGCCCTCGCGACGCGATGCTCGGTGATGATCTCGTTGCGATACAGGTTGTCCACGAGCTCGTCGTTCGTCCTGCCGTGGCTTCGCCACGCCATGGTCTCGATCCCGGCGGCGCGCGCCGGCCGCGCGGCGAGCGCGAGCGCGCCCGCGACGAGAGGCGCGAGGAGCGACGCGCGACGCGGCGCGCGACCGAGCGCGGCGCGACCGCGACGCGACGCGTCCTCTTCGCGAGCGAGCGCGCGCGATGCGGTGACGGCGGCGCGGACGGAGAACACCCGCGCGCTCGATGGCATCAACGCGCGCGGACGGGATGGAAACCCGTCGCGTCGCGCGCGGCGGTGTCGGGAAGGGGCGCCGAAGGATTGCGAATGCGATTTCGTCGTTGTCGTCGGACGCGGACCCTCGGACGGTTCAAAATCGGAGGCGCAGCGCGCGCGCCGCGATGCCGCCGCCGACGCTGCACGGCAAGCTCACGCAGTACCGCACGCCCGCCGGCGACGCGCGATGCGCGTTCATCTCCGGGACGTCCTCCGACGACGGCGGCGTCGCCGTCTACCTCGGCGGCCTCACCGACGGCCCGATGGCATCGCCGTACGCGCTCGAGCTCGCGGCGACGCTCGAGGCGCGCGGATGGGCGCTGTGCCAGCCCGTCCTCTCCTCCTCCTACCTCGGCTTCGGGGTGTGCTCGCTCGAGACGGACGTCGCGGATCTCGACGCGATGCTCGAGCAGTGCCTCCCCGAGGAGTCGGACTGGGAAGAACGCGCGAACGACGCGGCGGCGAACGACGCGGACGGCGCGACCGCCGCGCGGAGGAGCCGACTGCTCCTCGTCGGGCACAGCACGGGGTGCCAGGACGTCGTGGCGTACCTCAAGAGCGGCGCGCACCGCGCGCGGGTCGTCGGCGCGATCCTCCAGGCGCCGGTGAGCGACCGCGAGGCGATGGTCATGGAGCACGGCGCGGACGCGATGGCGGACGGCGTGCGACTCGCGAGAGAGATGATCGAAGACGGGAAGGGCGAGATGCTCATGCCCAGGCACGCGCCCGGGGTGTTCCGCACGCCGATCACCGCGTCGCGGTACCACTCCCTCGCGGGACGGATGACCCCGGACGACGTCTTCAGCAGCGATCTGAGCCCGGCGGAGCTGGAGACGCAGTTGGGTCACATGCGGACGGCGAACGGCGTGAGAGGCGAAGATGATTTCGGCGTGCCGCTGCTGTGGGCGTTTAGGCGCGTCCTCCTCAGCACATCACACCGGTCCCCGCGTGACCGCGTTGATGGCGCGGTGCACGCCATTCCTTGAGGACTTTTCAATCGCGCTTTGCGTTTCTCTCCGTCCAGGGTCCCTCGGTTTCAACCCCGACGCAAACACCTCGATGCCTTTCAACTCCGCTTCTGACGCCTTTGAACTCCACCCCGACGTTCGTCGCCTCGCGTGGACCGTCGAATTACCCTCAGCGGCGAAGACGAGTACGCGCCCGCCGCGGTGAAGGCAAACTACGAGGCGTTGGCGTCGCGGATCGCCGCCGCCGCCGGTCGCGGCATCGAGAGCAACCGAGCGGTGATCATCCCGGGCGGCGGGCACTCGCTGCGGCAGCCCGGGGCGAGGAAGGCGTTCATCGAGCACGTGGAGAGCTTTTTCGACGAGTGGCTCGCGTTTCCGGGCGTCGGCCCCGCGGCGGAATTCGCGGCGTCTTCGGCGGCGGCGTTACGCTGGGGCGTGGAGCGGTTGGAGGCGCGGATGCAGAGCGAGCTGCGGGCGAGCGAGCTGAGGGCGCAGGAGCTGTTGGAGAGGGAGGAGAGAGAGGAGCGCGAGAAGGAGCGGCGAGATCACGAGGCGTCGAGACCGCAACCGCAACCGCCCGAGGAAGAAGCCGCCGCGTGACGAGAGAAGAACCTCGACGCATGCAAAATACTGTAGTTTTATAATGAGCGACCGAACAGCGTCGTTCCGTTCCCCGAGACGCGCGCGCCCTCGAGCTCCTCCTCCGTCCTGTCGCTGTCCTCCTCTCAGTTCGCGACGCCGGCGGCGCCGTACAACGCCGCGAGATCGATCCAACGGTACGCGCTCCTCTCCAGCGTTCGCTCCAGCGCGTTCGTCGCCGCCCGCAGCGCCTCCCGCGTCGTCGGCGCGATCCTCGCCTCCGCCGCGAGGCGTTGCTTCTCCGGCAACCGCCGCACCGCGTCCTCCACGCACAGCAGACGCTTGAAGTGCATCAACTGCGTGTACAAATCCGCCTCCGTCGTCGTCTTGTGCATCACGCCCTGGCACTTCGGGTCCGCGGGGAGCGTCCCGGGCTCGGCGGCGCCGTCGACGCGCAGCGAGACGTTTCTCGTCTCGCACGGCGCGAGCTCGTCGTCGCTGCGAAGCGACGCGGCGTAATACGCGGCGACGGCGGCGCGCGTCGCGAGCGCGACTTGGTTCGCCAGCGCTGCGGGCGTGAGCGGCGTCGTCGTCGCGGACGCGGAGGACCCCGCCGAGAGTTTGTCCGCGGGCGGCGGCGGCGGCGCGGGCGCGGCGTTCTCCTTCGCGGCGGCGGCGGCGGGCGGCGGCGGCGCGAGCGCGGCGTCGCCGTCCACCTCCCCCGAGAGGATGGCGCCGACGCCTTTGAACTCGAACGCGCCCGCGGCGGTCTTCAAGACGAGCGGCGCGCAGCGTTTGAATCGCTCCTCGTCGTCCAGGTTCATGCCGGGCGCGAGGAGGTCGTCGTCGCGTTCGTCCGACGCGTTGTGCCCCACAACCTGCGCGTGGAACTTGGACGCGTCGAGGCCGAGGCAGTCCGCGATCCTCGCCGCGTCCGTGCCCTCGATCGGCTGGCACAGACGCGACACCACCGGATGCACCTGCTGCGTGAGGTAGTAGTGCAGGTCGAGCTTCAACCCGCTGCCCTCCGCGGCGACTTCGTCCGGGTGGTACGCGCGGTCGGCGAGGCCCTTGCCGCCCGTCGCGCCCGTTCTTCCGGAGGCGATGTCCTCCGCCGTCGCGGAATCCGTCTTGACCGCGATGACGTACGGCACCGTCTCGCCTTGGTTCACGCCCTCGCGCTTCCCCGCGTCGCGAAGCCGCAGCGCGACTTGCACGTGCGCCTGATTCGCCGCGTCCGGGTAATCCTCCGGACGCTTCGTGAGCTGCTTCGTGATGATGAACTGGTCCATGGTCACGACGCCGTTCACGAGGTCCTCGCGGCACTTGCGAAGCGACTCGTGGATGTCCTCGACGACGTCCTCCGCGGGTCGCCCGGAAAGAATCAGCTCCAGCGCGTGGTTCCCCTGACGCTTCGCGAGCGGGGACCAGTCGCGGCGGACGATGTCGAGACCCTTCTGCTCCATGACGGTCGTGAACCCGCCGCTGCCGTCCGCCGCGGGCTTCACCATGAGCGCCGCGTACTTCTTCTTCTTCAGAAGCAGCATCGACTTGAAGATGCCATCCATCTCAATCTCGAGGAGTTTGTACCGCTTGTTCACCTCCTTCTTCAGCGCGGCGCCGATCGCGCTCACCTCCTGCAAGTTGGTGCTCTTCGTGTTGATCATGATCGAGTCCGTGTCGCCGTAGATGACGTCCATGCCGAGGGTCCCCTGCGCCAAGTCCACGGTGCTCTGTAAAATCTCGCGGCCCTGAAGCGTCACGAGCTCCGCGAGCGGCTTGGCGTAAAACCTCGACGCGGCGAACCCCAAACACCCGTACATCGAGTTCGCCGTCAGCTTCAGCGCTTGCTGACGAATGTCCAGCTGCTGTCTTCGCGCGGCGTTCTTCTCCGTCTTGATCATGTTCTTCACCTCGCGACGCCTCTGCACGAGCTTGCGGATCACCTGCGGCAGCACCGCGCTGTTCGGTCCGCCCGGGCCTCCGGCGCACGGCTCGGGGAGCTGAGGCGCGGGGGCGACGCCCGCGGGGTCGTTCGGATCCGCCTTTGGCCGCGCGACCGTCGTGAAGCAGATGTTATACTCCTGGATGATCGACGGGTACAGAGAGTTGAAGTCCAGCATGAGGACGAACTTGTCGTAGAGGCCCTTCTTGGGCTCGAGGACGAGGCCGCCGGCGTACGACGGGCCCCCCTTCTTCTTCCCGGCTTTGACGCCCTCGCCGTCGCCCTCGCCGTCGCCGTCGTCGCCGCCGCCGCCGCCTCGGCCAAACTTCCTCTCCTTCGCGGAGAGACGGTCCGGCATGAGGTACTTCCGAGCGTGGAACTCGTGGAGGAGGAGGTGCTCCACGCGCGTCGCGCGCGTGTGCTGCAGCGTCTTCGCCCAGAGGTTGCCCGCGATGTTCGAGAGCTGCCGCGTCAACGGCAAGACGCTGAGGTGAAACATCAACCCCAACGACAGCCACGCGTCCGCCTCGGTCGCCTTGGTGAGCGACAGGAGTCCCGCGGCGGATGAAAACTTCCCGGGAATTTCCGTGGAGGCGATCTCCGTCCGCGTCATCTTCAGCTGATTCGACGCGAGCGACGACAGCGTGTACGACACCTCCTTCACGAAATCCCTCGCGCTGAGGTACGTGTCCGCGAGAAGACGCCCGGCGAGGCACGACAGCGCGCCCAAACCGGCGCCGCCGCCGAAGCTGTTCCCACCGCCGCCGAGGTTCGGAAACCGCGACCGCTTCAGCCGCCCGATGCGAGACCACTGCGGGACTTTGTTCGCCTGGAGGCGATGGAGGAGGACGTCGAGGTCGAACCCCGCGATGTTGTGTCCGACGATTACATCCGCGTCCAGCGCGTGCATCCGCCCGATGAGCACCGTCAGCAGCGCGCGCTCGCTCGCGGTGGAGGTCAACACGGACGACTTGGTGCGCTTCGCGACCGGGTGCTCCGCGTTCTCTTTCGCGACGACCTGGTCCCAACCGGGGGGCATGGACACGCCGTCGAGGCGTCGCACGACGGAGAAGTGACGCATCGACGCGGCGGAGTTCCACCCGGGCGTCGGGCCGTCGATCTTCGCCGCTCGGACGTACACGACGGACGCGGACGCGATCTCGTTGACGTTCTGCCTGTGGTTGACCACCGTCTTGAGGTTAAGCGCGGCGACGGTGAGGCTCGGGGGATCCCTGGAGAGCCCGTTCGTCGCCGTCGGTCGAACCGATTTGTGACCGGAGGGGAGGACAACCTCGAGCTTGCAGTGCGATCTCTGCGCGGAGACGTCGACGACGTTGGCGCCGTGGAGCGCGATCCAGGACGGGCCCATGATCCGCGACTTGATCATGAGGTGCTCCAGCATCGGCGTCTGCGTGCCGAGCATCGTGATGAAGTGCGCGCCTCGCACGTCGCCCGGAAGCGCGGCGTACGTGGCGGGGAATCGCACTTTGATGACGTACTGCGAGCCTCTCGGGATGTCGTCCTTCTCGAAGCAGTAGGACCGCTTCACCGGCTTCATCGTGAACTGCTCGATCCCTCGCGCGAGGAGCATCTCACGGAGTTCGTTCTTGACGTCCGCGCAGCGGCCTTGAAGGCATCGGAGCAGCGCGCCCTTGGCCTTCTTCGCGGCGGCGGCGTCGTCGCCGGCGGCGGCGGCGGCGGCGGCGTCCTCCAAGTCGCTGATTTCATTCTCCGGGTCGGCAAACGTCTCCGGCGTCGGCACCGCGAACGCGCAGCGCTGCATGTTCGGAACGACCGCGCACGCGCTGACGCACTCGCCGTTCACCTCGCCCGCGTTGACCGGGACTTTACCGAACAAGAACACCGTCCCCGGGACGGAGATGTCCTCGTGCGCGTCGAGGATGAAAAACGGCAACGTCGCATCCGGGTCGAGCGGCAGCGATCCGTCCGCGGCGATCTGCGCGGGCGCGGCGTCCTCGACGACGGCGCCGCCTTCCGCGCCGTCGTCGTCGAACGCGCCGCCCCAGCCCGCGCTCGCGCTCGGCGCCGCGGGCGCGCACGTCCCTGGTGCGGCGCCGGAGGCGGTGACCGCGCTCGAGGGGACCGCGGCGAGCGTCGCGGTTTTCGGCTCTTCCTTTTTCAGGATGGATTTTTTCGCCTTGGCGGCGAGCGCGGCGGGGGACGGCGGCTCGTCGTCGTCGTCGTCGTCGTCGTCGTCCGCGTCCATCGGCATCGGCGCGTCGTCGTCGCCCGCGGCGTTGGCGTCGTCGCGCTGCGACGACGGCGGCGACAGCGGCGGGTTGAGCGTGTACTCTTCGGCGTCGTCCTTCTCAGAGGCGGCGAACGTGACGCCGCGTCGACCCGCGCCGCGATTCGGCCCCGGCGCCGTCGGCGTCTCGACGTCGTTCACGAGCGTCGCGGGCGTCGCCGCGACCGACGGCGGCGGCTGCGCCGGCGCGGGGCGGCGGAACTGGTTCACGGGGGGCGCGGGGCGCGCGACGACAGGCGGGAGGACGCGCGCGCGCGCGACAGCTGGCGCCGGCTGCGCGCCGGCGGAGGAAGCGCCGGCGGAGGGCCCGACGCCGGCGAGAATGTCCTCCAAAAGCGCGTCCGCGTCTTGCGCCGCGGGCATCCCGGCGTGCGCGTCCGTCGTCGTCTTGCGCTTGACGCCGCCTTGCGCCACCGCGGCGGCGTTCTTCGCGAACATGTTCTGGAGTCTCTGACGATCGCGCTTGTCCGCGGGAGCGTCCTTGGCGTTTTTCGCTTTTTTAGCGTTCGCCGCGTCCCCCGCGTCGCCCTTTTTGCGCTTCTTGCCGTCGGCGTCGGCGTCGTCGTCGTTCTCGTCGTCGCTCGCGCCGGGTGCGGCTTTAGTCCAGTCGTCCTCTTCGCCGAGGTCGACGTAGCTGCGGGGTGTGGGGGGTGGGGGGGAGGGGGGCGACGCGGGCGTCAGACGCGTTCTGGTCTGTTCTTCGCCGGCGAGAAAACGCCGCGGTGGCTGCGACGAAACGCGCGCGAAAGAGGAGAGGGTGCATCGAATTTTTGAACGCGACGCGCGCGACGGCGGGCGGCGGGACGCACTCGTCGCCGTCTTCGCCGACGATGAACCCGCCGTACTCCTTGCGTCGCTTGTTCACGAGCTCCGCGTACTCTTCCTCGGTGACCTGAGCGCGGGCGCGAGGGGTGGAGGGGACGCGGCCGGTGAGCGCGAGATCGCGAGCGAGCGCGATGCGCGCCAGCCATCGGAGGAGGAGGCGGGAGACGAGATCGCGGACGAGGACGCGCTCGGGGGGGACGCGCGCGCACCACATCGTAGACGTTATCCTTCTCGTCCGCGTCCTCGACGGTGTCAAGACGCTTCGCGCCCTTCTCCTTGAGCGCCTTGAGCTGCGCGCCCGCGGCCTCGGCTTTCGCCGCGCGCGACGCGCCGCGTCGCGACGGGCGCTCGGACATCTAATCTATCTTTCGGGCGTCGTCGCTCGCCTCGCCGAACGCGATGGATGATGGCGTTCAGTTCACGTCAGAGAAGCGACGCGAGCGCGCGGACGACGATCTCGACGCGAGAAGATGAGGAGCCGCGACGTTCGTTCGATGACGCGAACGAGACCGACGCCTTCGTTCGTGCGCGCGCGGCGTCGTCGTTCTGACGACGGCGTCGATTCCGCGGCGCATTTTTTTGAAATGTCATCGAGCGCGACGAGACCCACACGCGCCGCGCCCTGCCCGAGCGCCCGACCTGACCTACGCGCGCCGCGCGACCTTCGCGCGGCGGCACTCTCTCCCCGCGCGAGATCCGCGATGGCCTCGAGCGCGACGCTCGGTCCAACCCGCCCGGCGCGATGCGCGGCGACGGGAACGTCATCGCGAAGAGGCGAGCGCGCGCGCGCGCGCGCGACGGCGACGACCTCGGGGGCCCCCGCGCGGGGGCGTCGCGCCGACGGCGACGGCTCGTCGAGCGCCCGATCGACGTGGCGGACTCGTCGTCGTCGTCGTCCCGCGGACGCCGCCGACGCGCTGGCGGCGCTCGCGTCCGCGCCGCGCCCTCGTCGCCTCGCGCCGCGCCGCGCGTCGTCCGCGCGCGCGTCCTCCTCCTCCTCCTCCTCCTCCTCCCCGTCCCCGCCGAGCGGCCCCGCGGACGAGGACGACGCGGATTGGATAACGCGAAACTCGGACGCCGTGCGCGCGGGCCCGCTGTTCGTCGGCGCCGCCGCCGCCGTCTCGCTCCTGACGAACCGCGTCCTTAGCGGCGTCGCGCCCGTCGCGGACGCGAGCTCGTCGCAGTCGAGGGCGGACGTCCTGTGCCTCGCGATGACCGCGTGCTTGGTGTTGACTGGTCTCACGTGGGTCGCGTTGAAGCCGAAGCCGCCGACGACGGTGGTCTTACGCGGCGACGTCGACGTCGCGTTCGTCGACGGCGACGCCGTCGACGACGCGGCGAGCGAGGAGCTGAGGTGGACGTGGGACGCGCTGCGTGCGTCCACGACGTGCGGCGCGATGGCGGTGTTTTACGAGGGGAAGCGCGTCGCGCAGTTTGGGACGGCGCCGAAGCGCGTCGCGGCGGCGGCGGTGGCGGGGGGATCGCACGACCCTCCGCTCGGGCCGATCTGCGAGCGGTGCATGCGCACCGGGGAGGGGAACTACCTCGCGAACTTGATCTTGTTCCCCGGGCGGGTCGAGTTCGAGTCGTATATGCCGGATAACGCCATGGCGGTGTGCGTTACGCCGATCGGGCGCGACGGCGTGTTGGTCGCCGCGAGCGGGACGCAACGCGGGTTCACCCCCGCGGATCAGGCGTGGATGAGCGTGATCGCGGAGAAGCTCGACCAGAGCCTGTCGGGGGAGGCGAGGGCGTAGCGGGCGGAGAGAGAGGGTTATAGGGTTTTTTGTTATCACCGCGCGAGCGCGACGTGCGATCAAGGAGCGCTCGCGCCGCGTCGGGCGCTCGTAGGGATAGACTCGTAGACTGTTGTGACGAAGTTGGGAAAAACTGCAAATTTATTTGGACTTCAATCTTCTGCTTCTGTCCGTCGCCGCCCTCGTCGTCTCGTCATCTCGTCGCGCGCGGCGCACGCGCGATGGCGCCCGAAAAGATACTCGCCAAGTGCACGCTCGAGGAGGCGGCGTTCAGGGTCCTGAACACGCCGAGCGCGCACGACAAGGCGCTCATGACGGAGGAGATCCACTCCATGTGGAGGACGGGCGTGATGACCGTCACGCACGATCTGGACGCGCCCGCCCCGCGCCAGCTGGAGCGACCCGCGAGGGACGCGCGCGTGAAGCTCGTGGAGCCCTCGTGCGCGCCGAGGCTCGGGAAGGGCGGCTCCCCGGAATCCCGCGTCGCGATCCTGCACTCCCTCGCGCACATCGAGAGCTGGGCGATCGACCTGTCGTGGGACGCCATCGCGCGGTTCGGGCGCGCGGAGAAGATGCCGCGCAAATTCTTCGAAGACTTTCTCGCCGTCGCCGCGGACGAGGCGAGGCACTTCTCGCTCCTCGCCGCGAGACTCGTCGAGCTCGGGTCGTCGTACGGCGCGCTGACCGCGCACGACGGGCTGTGGGAGTCCGCGACGGAGACGCGCGACTCCTTGGAGGCGAGGCTGGTGATCGAGCACTGCGTCCACGAGGCGAGAGGCCTCGACGTGCTGCCGGGGACCATCGCGAAGTTTCGACGGTTCGGCGACGACCCGAGCGCGGACCTCTTAGAGCACGTGATATACCCCGAGGAGATCACGCACTGCGCCGCGGGCGTGCGATGGTTCACGTACTTGCAGAATCGCATGGGAGGCGCGCTGGTGGTGGACGACGACGACGAGGAGGAGGAGTTGGACGACGCCGCGCGCGTCGCGAAGCGGTTCCACGTCATCGTTCGAAAGCACTTCAAGGGGATCCTGAAACCGCCGTTCAACGACGAAGCGCGATCGAGGGCGGGGTTTCAGAGGGAGTGGTACGAGCCGCTGTCCGTGGACGACCGAGCGGGCGCGGAGAAGGCGGGCGCCAAGGCGGGGGCGGGGGCGGTGACGGAGTCGACGACGGACGGCAAGGGCTCAGAGACCAAGGTCGCCGGCGTCGGCGAGAGCATCGCCAAGAAGATTGATGAATTTCGGAAGCCGATCGCGCGGCCGCGTCTGGACGACGCCGGGACCGGGATGGGCGGCGTCGGCGGCAGCAGCTGGGACGGCCCGGGGAAGGTGCAGCGCCCGGGACCGGGGGAGGGGCCGCAAATCTCGGAGGCGCAGTGGAGAGCGTATTTGGGCGAGTTTGGCGACTCGTTCGTGCCGCACAGCCAAGTGCAGCCGCCGCGGTCGCCGGGGTGACGCGAGCAGAGCGCGCCGTCGGCAGTCTTCGCGCGCGTACGCGTACGTAGACTATAGTCTTCATCGCGACCGGGTGACTACTTACTTTCAGCAGCGCGGTCGTCTACGATACCTCCTCGCCGCCCCCCGCCGCGTCGAGTCGAATCCAGAATCCAGAATCCAGAATCCAGAATCCAGAATCCAGAATCCAGAATCCAGAATCCGCCAATCGATCACCACGGAATCTGCAGCCCGTCTTCGCAGTTGATGAACAGCCCGTTGCGCTCCGGCGTCATCAGCCCGATCTCGTGCAGCACCCTCTTCGCCCCCACAGACGCGTCCACGGCGCCTTCCACCTCCCAGATGTGCTCGTACTTCTTCGTCATCCCGGTCTTGTTGAACCCGGGGTGCAGCATCTGGACCAAGATCCCTCGCGGGCCGAGCTCCTGCGCGAGCAGCACCCCGCCCATGTTCGCCGCCGACTTGGACATGTGATGGCCGAAGTCGTGCCCGGTTGGATTTTGCACGACTCTCCACGACACGCTCCCGCCCTGGGAGGTGATCATCGCGATCTTCCCTCCGGGCTTCGCGATCAGTCCGGCGTTGTAAAGCGCGCTCGCGACGCGAAGCGGCCCGACGGCGCAGATGTCGATCATCTTGAGCTCCTCGTCGAACGCCATGTTCTCGATCGTCTCCACGGGTTCGTAAAAGTACCCCGCGTTGTTGATGAGGACGTCCACGGGGGCGTCCAACGCTCGCGTCATCGCCTTCACGCTCTCCGTGTCCGTGACGTCCACGCCCTCGATGACCTGGACGGCGGGCGCCATGCCGTCGATCTCATCGTTGGACTTGCGGCACGTCACGATGACGTTCGCGCCGCACGCGACGAGCTCCTTCACGAGCGCGAGGCCGATACCGCGGTTGCCGCCCGTCACGAGCACGCGCGCGTCCTTCAGGAAGCTCCCGTCGAAGTAGTCCGTCGTGAGCATGCGCGCGTTGTTCTCCGCCTTGCCCTTCGCGAACCTCGCGGGCTGGTCCGCCATCGTGTACTTGGCGTCGGTCGGGACCTCGAACGTCGCGCCCTTGAAGCGCGAGAAGTCGACGGGGTCGTCGGGCGACGACGGGGTAGACGACGCCATCGCGCGGACGGCGATCGGGGAAGCGCGGACGGACGCGGCGGCGGGTCGCGCGGACGCGGCGCGGCGCGCGAGAGCGGGGACGCTGCGGGCGAGGTAGAAGGCGGAGGAGCGAGCGGCGAGTTCGAGCGCCATCGATATGCGGAGCGCGCGCGTGGTGTGGCCGACGCGCCGCGGTGACGTCGCACCAGACTTTATCCGCAACTCCGAGTGTCGTATGAGGCCCAAAAACTACAGCTGTACTCACACGAGATCCCATTCGGGGCGCGCGCGCGGGGCGACGCGCCGATCGCCGCCCGCCGCCATGGGCCTCGCCGCGCGCGTCAAGCTCTTCGACGCGTACCACAAGCCGGAGCGACACCTCACGAAGAAGACCGCCGCGGGCGGCGCGGTGACGCTCTCGTCGCTCCTTCTCATGGCGTTCGTCTTCGTCTTCGAGCTGCGATCGTACCTCGCGACCGAGCGCGTGACGACGACGGGCGTGGACGTCACCCGCGACGAGATGCTCGCCATCAACGTCGACGTGACGTTCACGTCGCTGCCGTGCCAGACGCTGTCGCTCGACGCGCTGGACGCGAGCGGGAAGCACGACCAAGACGTCGGCGGCGAGCTGCACAAGACGCGCGTCGATCGATTCGGACGCGCGATCGCGACGTACGAGTCGCACCGCGAAAACGACGACGGCGTCGTGAACTTGATCACCGAGCTGTTCTACGGGTTCGAGACGGAGGGCCACAAGGCGCACGTGGACGAGATTAAGACGGCGTTGAGCGCGGGGGAGGGGTGCCGCGTCCACGGGAGGCTGAAAGTGCAGAGAGTCGCGGGGAACTTTCACGTGTCGGTGCACGGCGAGGTGAGACGACGAGACGGCGTCGCGCGCGACGTCGTTCATTCGCGCGCGCGTCTCTCGAGGACGTTGGGTCCAGCGGTTCAGCGACCTTCACCCCGCGCCTTTCAACATTTCCTTTCAACGCGCGCTCGCGCGACGAGTCAGACGCGCGACTGACCGAACCTACGCGACCCGCGCGCGCGCCTTCGATCCGCGCTTCTTTCAGGACGCGAGGACGCTTCGCGCTACGTTTGAACATCCGAGAAACGTAAACATGTCGCACGCGGTGCACAGGCTGTCGTTCGGGAAGAGTTTCCCGAGGAAAGAAGACCCGCTGTCGGGGTTCACGAGGACGACGAGGCACGCGAACGAGACGGGGACGTACAAGTACTTTTTGAAAGTCGTCCCGGTGACGTACACGGGGAAGAGCTCGCCGAGCGCGCTGAAGGCGTACGAACGAAAGTTTCGCCGAGAGTCCGCCGCGCTCGCGATCGAGACGAAGAGGAAGAAGAAGCGGCTGGAGAAGATGCGCGCGCGAGGCGTCGAGGGCGGCGGCGGCGGTGGCGGCGGCGGCGGCGGCGGCGGCAAAGAGCGGTGGGTCGAGGCGAAGACGCCGCGCGGGGTCACGCGGACGAATCTGTACTCGGTGACCGAGACGTACATTCCGACGAAAAATTGGAACGGCGGGTCGCTGCCCGCGGTGTACTTCATCTACGACCTGTCGCCGATCGCGGTGACGATATCGGACGCGCGGAAGAGTTTCGGGCACTTCTTAGCGCGGACGGTCGCTGGCGTGGGGGGGGCGTACGCGATCGCGGGGCTGATCGATCGGATGATTCATCACAGCCTGACCGTGCCCCCGGGGAAATTGCACTGATCATTCGGCGATCCGTCGTGCGAAGCAACGACGCTTCGTCTAGCTAAGTTAGGGTGATCGAGTCGATCGTCTACGTCACGTTCGTTGAGTCTCCTCTCCTCTTCTTCTCTCGCGCTCCGCTTCGACGCTGCCGAGCTTCCGAATGCGCCGCTTCTTCCTCGGGACCGCGTCTTCGTCCGCGGCGGCGGCAGCGGCGGCGGCGGCGCTCGCGTCTCCGCCCACCCCGCGCTTCGTCGCGCCGCCGCCGCCCGCCGCGATCGCGTTTCGGAGCAACAGCGTGCACCCCGCGAGCTCCCCGCGCGCGTGGTCCGCCGCGTCCACTCGCGCGCCGACCCACGCGCCGCCGCACCGCAGCGGCACGAGGTAACATCCGTCCTGTGGGACCCAAACGCCGCGGACGTCGCCGGCCCAATTTGGCGCGGGAACGTTGTCGCGTTCGCCGGCGTCGCCGTCGCCGGCGGCGCGCGAAAGCGGCACCGGTTTCGCGCACGCGCTTCGAGCGGCGACCGCGTCGTCGCGAGGCAGCACGTATACCTCCGTGTGCCCGTCGTCGTCGACGTCGACGTCGACGCGCGCGCCGGCGCCGGCGTCGCCGTTCATCTCGAGTAACGTTCGGAGGTAGGACAGGTCGAGACGTTCGACGCGGACGCCGGAGCGGGAGGCGAGGGGACCGAGCGCGCCGAGGGGTTCGCACCCGCACGACGCGCACAGCGACCGCGGCGGTCGCGGTTCTTCCTCTTCTTCTTCCTCCTCTTCTTCCTCTTCTTCCGGATCAGGTTCAGGTTGCGTCCCTCGCACGCCCTCGTCGGCGTCTACGCTTTCGGCGGCGGCGGCGGCGGCGGCGGCGGCGACGGCGTTCGCGCGCTTCGATCGACGCCCGCCCGCGAGCTCCATGACCGCGTCGTGGTACGCCATCGCGGACGAGTCCTCCTCCTCCTCCTCCTTCTCCTCGACTTCAGCGGCGGGTTCGACGCGTTTGATCCGAACGACGTGCTGGACGTGCTGCGACGCGGGAAAACACGCCGACGCCGCGCTCGGCGACGGCTGCGAGTGATCGTCGTCGACGAACGTCGGGGCGACGCGCGGCCGCACCGGCGGCGGCGGAGGCATGCTCGCGCGCGCGGCTTCGGCGTCGGCTTCGGCGTCGCTTTCGCTCTCCGTTCGCGTCGTCGGCGTCGGCGCCGGCGGCGGCACCGCGCGGAACTGCTGCGTCGCGCCCCATCCGGCGGCGCCGTACCCTTGCGTGCCGGGGGTGCAGCCCCAAACTTCGGACACGTCGTCGTCCACGTCGTCGTCGTCCGCGGCGAATTCGTCGTCGTCGCCGCCGCGGCCCCACCCTACGGGCGTCGTCGAGTGCGCCGGCGCCGCGGCGCTTCTCCGTCGACGCGTCTGCGCCGGGGTCTCCTGCGTCTCCTGCGTCTGCTCTCGTCGCGCGTGAGGAAGCGAAGGCGCCGTCGCCGCGATCTGTTCCGGATCCGGCGACGCCGAGGGCGGCGGCGGCGGCGGCGGTCGCGTCGAATCCAGCGGCGGCGGCAACGGCGCCGCGGACCACCCCGCCGCTCTCCGCGTCGACACCGCGCGATCGTCGACCTCTACGGGTTGAAGATGCGCGAGCGTCGTGTTGGACGAGTCGGTCGCGTTGGACGGCGGCGGCGGCGGCGGCGCCGCCGGTAAGGCGCCCCCGACCGGGGCGAAAAACGTCGCGATCCCG